GTACAGGTAGGCTCTACTTTTCAGGGGGGGGGGGCCGTGTTTTTTATTAGGTGGACCGGATTATCCAGGATCATCAGGTGATCACATCAATCAACGCCTAGCTCTTCCTTCACCGGGTCGAGATCTCATCGATTCGTTGCTGTGTTCATCACCGAAAACAGGCCTGGGTGGAACATCCTCCGCCTTCCCAGAATTCGGTGGGTCAGAACCCGAGTTCGTTCGACTAGTCTCGAACGTTAGGTACCCTTCGGTACCACTGGTAGCTCGGGTCCCTGTCCGTTCAGTGCAACGGCAGCCAGGTCGGCGGCCAGCTTCGGTCCCCTCGGTTCGGGTCCCGTTCGGGTCCTCCTGTTCATCCACGGAGCCCACATGAACTTCCAAGTGGGCCTCCGCCGATGGAAGAAGCCACACTCCAACCGGACAAAAGGGAGGACAGGGACCAACGAGAAGCAACACTCCAACGACCAAAGACACAGAGATGGTGACCATCTCTAAAAGTGGCTATGGATGCGCTGAGTACTGTAAAGATTGAACGAAGTGGATCTAATTTCTCCATCTACTTAGGCAGAATCTAGGGAACCATCATTCTCTTGGTCATTTATCACTTTGCACCCGTGGGCAAACTCAATCTAGCAGTCTGAAAAACCAACGGCTGAATAAAGCTTTGCAGCATGGAGCTTCATCACTGGAAGGGTCTTTCCGGCATGCTATAGGTTAAGGACGCTGAAACAAATCATACGGCGGCATTTAGCTGTATGTAGACGACGCTTCCGCCTCGCCCGCCTGCCTCAAAGCGGCCCTTGGGCACTTGGTGCCGCAGGACCACATAGCGCATGCCGTTGGGAAGGACACCGCGCCTGGCACACCGCCAAGGGCTGAACGACGTGGGAATCTTGGACCAACAAAAACTCCAAAGATTCCAAGCACAAAGAAGCCTACAAATCAAAAAGGATCGGAGTCACATCCACGACATCCACGACCGTGGAAATCATGTAAACCAATCTAGGGTCATCCGAGGGGAAGTCATGACGGAAGCAAATCCGGGCAAATCTTCCCGTGGACGCCATCGCTTCACCACGTCCCTTGACGCCATAGCTTCCCCAAGCTCGGAGCCATGAACCCATTTCTAGACTCTTCCCTTGCCACACCATGCTACAAAAACCAGAACAAAGTGCTTTCCAATCTTGGATCCCCACTCTTCCCCAAGCACCAACGAACAAGTGCCAAAGATTATCGTTCCAATCCTCATCAAAGGCTTGACTCTAGGAGCGTTCCTTCTTGAAAACTCTCTTGAATGTCTATTTGCATCGATCTGGAACACCTCTGACACACCATGGCTTGGCTGTGGTTTCCTCAGGTGTCCTCTCTTTACACCACCCCGTAAAGTTTCTATATCAACTGCCTGGTTGAAACATCTTCATAAGCTAAGCCAGCAAAGCTGCAGGTTTCGGCATGTGCCAGCTTGGTTTTGGAGCTATACGGTCAGTCACAGTCCTGACCATCTTCAAGAAGCCATCGGCCTTTCTTCTCTTCAGATCCAAAAAATCCCCAGTGGGCCCTCTGGGGGTCGGACCTCTTCCCCCTTCGAGGTCGGGGTCAGGCGAACGAAACCCGTGTTGCGAACCGGGGAACCCCGGCCATGCGAAAAGGGCAGATCGCCCTGGATCTTCACCCCAACACCGGCGTGCAGCGAGCCGGCCTCGTCTTCAAGGTTTCCAAAGCGAAGTCCTCCTTCAGGGCCTCGGTGGGGCCGATTGAGTTCAGCACGGAGAGACAGGAGATATGTTGGGTATATCCCATTCCCTTTTTACAATCCGAAACAAATTTATGGGATTGGAAGATGTGCGGTCCCATGGATGGGTGTGGTCCCAAGGTTGGGGAACCAAATCCTGTGGACCCAGTGGCCCAGTGGATGCTCTGTTTGTGGCCCACAGGTTTGCCGGGAGATACCCACCCGGCCCGAGAATATCATGGATGCAGCACTACTTAGACTCTGCGTGTCTTGAAATATCTCAGACTCTTGACCCAGAATATCCCAGACTTGACTCCAATTGAGTCTATATCTTTCATATATCTATTTAACTTCACCATATGCTTCACTACTTCGCCAGCGGCAGCCGACCTCGACATACCTCGACCGTCGCCTGTTCGAACCCCGAGTCAGACTGGCGGGCGGGGCCTTCCCCACCTCGCCACCGACCCACGGAGATACACGGTGAAGGACGAACGAACCGATCCGTCGCCAGACGTTCCTCAGTCGTATGCGACCTTGAGTGGTTAGGCTTCGACCTGGTTGAATCACACGTAAACCACACACTCTTTTCTGGGCACGTGGGTGGTGAAGACTCCTCTCAACAAAAACCATAAAGCAAACTACAAGGATAACGCCAAAGGCCTAATGGAAAACCATGGAAAACCATGCAAAACCTGTATCCAAGCCTTCTCAAGCATTCCCTCTACAACGGTCTTCCGATATATGTCCGCTAGTCGGTGTGACCTTGGGTGTGCGCTAAGAATTGGGAGGCCCTCCAACCCGTCGTTCGATCCGTTGGGGTGAACGCTTGGATTTGCCTCCAAGGAACGTGGAAAATGGAGGGGAATTTAGCCAGTTGGAAAATAAATTAACGCAATCACCTTCAGCAAACCCAGGACAGTCACCAGCCTTGTACCCCCTTCCACCAGCCACTGAGCAGTCCCAACCGCCGCTCCGCTGCGCGCCACGGCTCCGCGTTCGCGGCTTCGGCGTCCGCGTTCGCGGCGCTTCGCCTGGTTCGCAGGTGTCTCGGACTGGCCGTGCGAAAGACGAGTCTGGCATGATTGGAGACACCTTACCCAGACACTCCATGGGACTGGTATATTTACCTACATTGGGGTGGTTTTGGGGGTCAATGTAGGCATATATGGTATACATGGAGTGTCTGGGTTATAATGCCAAACACTCCATGTCTGTCATATGCCTACATGGATCCCTCAAAGCACCCTAATGTAGGTAAATATGCCAGTCTCATGGAGCGTCTGGGAATGGGGTTTGGAGGGTCCCGTCATGTCCAACCTGAGCAGGTGGATCGGTGGATCCGGCATTGCGACAAGTCCCGTTTCCGTGGAAATCCTTCGAGGTTTCTTGGAGCAGTTCCGACCACGCCCGATGAATGCCAAACCGCCAAACTAGACGGCCTGAAGAGGAGTAGATGGCAATCTTGAAAGAAAACATATTCATGTTCAGACTTGGACTACTTAGCGCACCTTTGGGACGTGCGCACCCTGCACCCTTCGTCCCGCTAGGGCATCGCACCGCCAGTGCCGCAGCGCCCACGACCGTGCTCAGCGGTCCAGTCCGGGCCGCCGCATCCCTGCGGAACGTCATGCGCGCCGATGATATAAAGGGGAAGCTTTCAAGCAAGAGACGCTCTCTCCAGCCCCAGGGATCCAGTCGTACCGAACCTCAGGTACGGTGATTGGAGACACTCTTATGTAGGTTTTGAATGGTTTTGAAGGTCCAAGTACCTTCTGAGAAGGTACTTGGATGCCTAGGGCAGGTGGTTGAACCTTCAAAAAAGTGCATACGAGGACAATGGACTACTAGGGCCTGGCGGCCATTGATGTCTTCTTGGGACTAGGGACTACTGTATACCTATTGGATCCTATTGGTTGTTTTCTTGGGGGGCAACCCATCTATGCATCAAACAACCAATAGCAAAAAGGCCATCTGATAGGGCCCTCAACTCCAACACAAACACTGAGGTGTCGATGGTGAAGGTCCAACAGTCTCTGCGTCTCTTGTCTAAAAATCATGCTGCTGAAGGTTTGTGGGCTGGACTCTAAGGTAATCAGAAGTTCCGATTCTGTTCGGACTATATTATAGTGCCAAATTCTCCAAACATCTACCAGAGTTGCGTCAGATCGTCGCAAACCATGGTGACGCCACATCGAAGTGGAAGGAACCAATGGCCACATGAATGGCCGCACTGATGGACTGGAAAGTGGACCCAGGACCGAGATTCGCCCCTGAACAGGTCGCATCGAAGCTTCGGTCTCTAGTCTTAGTCCTCCGGGAGGCTCATTGTCTATAGTGTTAATGACCCGGCAGTTCTGTCAATCACACCTCCCGCGGCATGTGAATCAACCTTTGTCTTGCACATTAATCATTAATCAAAGATGATCGGATGTGTCATTGGCCAAAGAGAGTCATGCCGACTGCAAGCCCTCCATTTTTACCAAATCTTATATACGCTTAAGATCGCTTAAGACTACGCTTACCAAAGTCGAAGGAGTTTAATTAATCAAATCCACTTTAAGTTGTGGTTTACAAAGTGGGTTGCCTCATCCAGGTGGAAGTCCAATCCTGTTTGCAGCGATTCCTACGGCCACTCCTTTTTTCTCGCGCGCCCACGTGGACGAGTCGTTTCTCGCGGAGACGTTCTCCCGCAAAGCGACCTGGGCGTGAGGTTTCACCCCCAAGCCATCCACCCCATGTCTCCATGGCTAATGTGGATGGCATCGTCCCAAACACCCAGACTTTCCCGGAACATCGCCTTGTTCTGAATGGGGGGCGCATGTTCTTCCATGTGAATTCCAGTGGTTTCAGTAGATGGAACACACCAAACTGAGGTCCTTCCAGGGGGGGTTATCAAATCACCCGCCATAACGGACACGGAACCGCACGGTTTTGGGCACTGGTTTTCTCCGTCTCACCGCCGAACATCCGGCGAAGCCAGAGCAGGCCGACCCCCGTCTCCGTGTGCGTGGGTCTGGGTGCGGGGGGGGGGTGCTGCGGGATTTTTCTGCCCTGGAGGAAGAACTGTTGAAGCAACGCCTCCTTCCCAGTCCGAAAGCCTCATCAAAGCATGCCCCCTGTGCCAACTGACCTGGCTACGTGTCCACCACAAAGAAACATGGGAGGGCTTGGTACAAGTAAAAGAAGGACTTTCTGTGCCAGGCAATTAGCAAGTCCCATGGACCGGGCATGATCTCGGCCAAGACGCTGAGGAGAGGCTCGGCCCTCACACGACCACACGCTCGCCCAGGCGCAAGGCCACCTTCTGCGCGGCTCGCTGGCCGTCGCGAATGGCACCCTGGCGAGGCGGAAACCCGGGGCGAAACAGGCACAAAGACGAAAGAGAACCTCAGCCAATATTCTGCAGGGAAGTTGCACAATCTGCAACAGTATAAATAGGAAGAAAATGCAGCCACATATTATTTTGGTGCCTTTGTTTAAAGGCCCAATAAGAAAGGGCCCCAAAAGCCAGTAAGAGGCGTAAGACGGGCTTGCAAGATCCTTCGAAAAGAAGGGACAGCAGCTGGAGTCGACCCCGACCCCGTGTGACAGAAAATGGGTACAAGATGGTACGCCAGTATAAAGTATTATACTTTCCCTATGGATCCAAGTACCCTCGCTTCGATGACTCCTACACTAGATAGGTTCCTAGGGGGGGCCCCCCTCAATTAATAAAAAAAATTAATTGAGGGGGTCTGTATAGATTTCGCCAATATTAATTGAAATTAAGAAGACCCTAGGATTAATTTCCTATAGGCTTTGCTTGGGGCACCCCCCCCCAAAGAAAGAGCCCCTTGACCACCCCTCAATTAATTTTTGCTGGTTTGCCCTTTCCAAAATAAAATGACCAGTAAAGAGCCCCTTGGCAACCCCTCGATTAAAAATTAAATTTTTACTGTTGGTCCTTGAAACTCTGGCAACCCTTGAAAACAATTCTGGCAACTTCCGCAATATTTTCTCCTCAAAGATCTGGTTTCTGTCTATTCTGGTCTCATGATGTCAGCGCCCCGTCAGCTGGACATTCTAGAGAATTCTAATGAACGGCTACTGGACGCTGCACAAAGCTAACCTAACAAAGCCAACTCAACAAAACATAACAAAACTGTATAAAGAAAATTAAAGAAGTCTGAACGACAATGAATATGAGGTTTTGAGTGTGGTGGCTACTGTTCTGCCTGGTTTTTGATGGTTTTTGCAAATGGGTCTAGTGTTCCAGTGTGTTCTAGTACTTTTTGTTGTTGGTTGTCATGGGTTTTTGCTTTCCCGCTGCACTTTCCCAGGAATATGCCTGCCCACTAAATTAATCAACCCCTCTCCCAGAGGCTAAC